AATATATTGCTAACAATAAAGATTAATAATGAAGTTTTAAATGCATAAGAAATGTTATGTGAATAATTTAATTTTAAATAATAATATAAAACATATTTTTCTAATATTAAAAAATGTATAAATGATTCATTTTATATAATTTATTTAAAACAAATTAGTAATAAATATTAAAACATTTAAATACGATCTTAATAAATAATTTATTAATATTTTGAGTTGTTTGCATATTTACAGATTATAATAAAAATAATTGAATTGCTTTATAGATCATTCATTAAAGTGCTTACTAAATAAACTACAGTATAATATGTTTTTATATTAAATAAATAAATAAATAATAAATCATATGCTTAAATATATTACATTAGTCCATTATTTAATCACTTAGCATTTTATTTTTAAAATGTTATTATACAGCATATAATTTTTATATTATATAATAACATTTATTTAATACTGTGCTATAATAATAATATTATTATTAATACTGTATTAATAAAGGATTCCTATACTAAATTGGGAACAAACAGTAGTAGTGATGATCTGAACTAATAATTATCTTATTGTGTTTTAAAGTGTTTACAAGTGTTTAAAATTTTAGTTATATTTAAAAAATGCAGTTATAAATTAAAACTGTTTGTCTAAAAGTTAATAAAAGTAATTAAATGTTTATTATCAATTAATATGTAATATAACAGTTATTATTAGTAGAATTCAATTTAATAATTTTTATATTTTCTATTTTCTAAAAGGAATTTTTACATAAAATGATTTATAAAAGTGACAATAAGTAAAATTTTTATATACAGTTTATTATGATTAATGTAAATAATTATAAAAATTTATTAAATGGTGAATAAATAAAGATATGTGTGTAAAATAATTTATAATAAAATTAATATTTATTTTAAACAATTAAAATCTAAAAAAACGATTTCTTAATTAACTTAAAACAGTTTTATAAAATTTTATTAAAATCTAATAATTATTAATATATTTTTTATAATTTAGAAAATTATTTAAACAATTACATTCTGAGTATAAATTAATAGTAATGAATAGTTTTTTAGCTAAAGTAAAAATAAAATATATTTTCTATGAAAAATATTGTTTCATCATTAATGACAAGTTATGAAATTCAACTAATTTTATAAAATATATATTATTTTAATATATTTCTTTATTTATTTATAAATAGTTATAAACAATATATAATTTATAATAACAATACATATATTGTGGTTAAAGAAATGTATACAATAAATATAAATTAATAAATAACTATTGATTAGATTTGATACATTAGTTCTGTGGGCAAAACTACACTCAAATACTAGTTTTATTAATTTCAGTTTTTTATATAATTTAGTTAATTTAGAGTACAATAAATCAAAATAATTTAATTTTTATAATTGTCATTTAATATTCACTTGAATTCACACACACACACACACACACACACACACACACACACACACACACACACACACACACACACACACACACACACACACACACACACACACACACACACACACACACACACACACACACACACACACACACACACACACACACACACACACACACACACACACACACACACACACACACACACACACACACACACACACACACACACACACACACACACACACACACACAMATACAYACACACTCACACACACATACATACATACATACATACACACACACACACATACATACATACATACATACATACATACATACATACATACATACATACATACATACATACATACATACATACATACATACATACATACATACATACATACATACATACATACATACATACATACATACATACATACATACATACATACATACATACATACATACATACATACATACATACATACATACATACATACATACATACATACATACATACATACATACATACATACATACATACATACATACATACATACATACATACATACATACATACATACATACATACATACATACATACATACATACATACATACATACATACATACATACATACATACATACATACATACATACATACATACATACATACATACATACATACATACATACATACATACATACATACATACATACATACATACATACATACATACATACATACATACATACATACATACATACATACATACATACATACATACATACATACATACATACATACATACATACATACATACATACATACATACATACATACATACATACATACATACATACATACATACATACATACATACATACATACATACATACATACATACATACATACATACATACATACATACATACATACATACATACATACATACATACATACATACATACATACATACATACATACATACATACATACATACATACATACATACATACATACATACATACATACATACATACATACATACATACATACATACATACATACATACATACATACATACATACATACATACATACATACATACATACATACATACATACATACATACATACATACATACATACATACATACATACATACATACATACATACATACATACATACATACATACATACATACATACATACACTTTGTTGTCTACTATTTAAAGAGGTGTTCCGTTAAATTCACTCTCTCTTGCATTGAATCCTTGATTAATGTCTTTCTCTTCAAAAACTAATCAAATGTGTAATCAATAATTTTTTATCATCTTTCGTTGGATCCATTGTTGTCATCTTATCTTCTTCATCACAATCATAATCAATGGTCACATAATTAAATTATATATTTATTTCAATATATTACAAAATAAAAAAAGATTTTAAGTTAGACTAAAGATTTATATTTAAAATGTTTTAAAAATAAAATCAAAAATGTTTAATAGTAGTAAAGGTTTGACAAATATAATAATAATAAATTGATAATAAATATATTAAAATAGCACTTTATTTTATAATTTAAAATGTTTTTATACAAAATTCATATTTATTACGTTTTGATATTATTGTAAAGAAATATAGTTTCATATTATTATTATTAGTTTTTCAATTGCAAAAAACTTAATATACAGTATATACTGTAATTCTAATATTGTATTAATAGATTACAAAACATAATATAGTTTTTATTATTATATTATCAATGATTACATTAATTTCTTCAGGGGTTTGTTTTGAATAAGTTATGCAATTGAAAGTAATGTATATTAAATCCACTGAACCTATAACTATTGATAATTATAAAATGATATTCAATATATTATTATTATTATTATATTTTTAAAAAAAATATAAATTTATATATAAAAATAAATACACTAAAAAAAGTTAAATTCTGAACTCATATTAGTTTCAAGAATATACAGTATTTTGTTGTATTAAAACTAAACTAAATTACAATTATTGTTATACTAAATAATACTTTTAGACTGAAAAAATTATACCCAGTTTAATAATTTCAATATATTTTACATTAATTAATAATTAAAATGTTAAATACTATAATTTTAGGTTTTAAAAACTTTCAAACAAGTTATCTCAAAAAACATTGTATATTTAGTAAATTCTTATAAATGCGTTTAAAACAGAAATCTAATAAAGATTTTTGTTGTTATTATTATTATTATAATTAATTAATTTATTATATATATATATATATGAGAAAATGAATGATTGTTGCTATTAGTTGCACTAAATATTTAATAAATTGATAGTTCTATATATATATATATATATATATATATATATATATATATATATATATATATATATATATATATATATATATTATATAATACTCATCTGAATTATGAGTTTCATATCATTTTTTGCCTGTATTTGCGATAAGACACGTTTAGACAAAAACATTGTACTTATAAAACATTATATTAGTCTTTAATCATAAATATAATACCAAAATGTTTTTGGGATCACAGTATTTACTAATATATTGTAAATGATTATCGAAAATTGTCAGTATTACTAATTATATGCAAATTATTATGAAAATCATTCAATGAATTATTAAATACATTACATTTATATATTGTTTTAATAATAATAAATATGCTATTCTTAACGCAATTATTTATTAATAAATATTATATTATTCTTCGCCAAATTATCCGGTTATCATAAGCTTTGAATTATATTTACAAAATTGATGTTTTTTTTCTTTTGTATTGTATATCAAATTATCTAATTTAATGTAAATTATGAAATCATAAAAAATATAAATTAATTTTTTACATAATATGAATAAAAACAATAATCACATATTCTTATAAAATTTTCTAAATTATTTATGATTATATATTTATTCCTAATTTAAAAACTAAAAATTACAAAACTGAAAACATATATACAGTAGATAAGTTACTTATAGTATTATTATTAGGTACATATGCATATTTATATATGCAATAACATTATATATATATATTGTAATATACTGTATATAATAATGAAGTTAGTATTTATTATGATTGAGAATTTCATAATGTTGTCATTTTTAATTTATTTTAAAATTGTATATTAATGTTATAAATATGAAACATAATTGAGTACATCAAAATAATTATATAAATATAATTTAGTTGAGAATTCCAGAGTTTTAGACTTATAAGACAAACAATATAAACAACTTTTAAAAATGTTTGATATGTTATATAATGAAAATGAAGACCTGTTGCTCTTAATATAAGATCCGACTCTACAATAATGTTCATCAAATAAATTGTGTAATGTATGTAACGATATGTCGTTCCGTTAACTACACTGTTATATAATATATATATATATATATATAGTATTGATATATGACTTTCCCAAACCCATAGGATAACACACATACACACACATGTTTGCGCACATAAGTCAGCGCAACCATAAAGTAGTGAATGCATTGAAATATAATTCAGCAAATAGTGGTTGCAATCATTTCATACAATTCAGTATATGTTATGCATTGAGTCTCACTCTCTTTCAATCCCTCTAACTCTCGATCTCTCTCTAAAAGTCTCATTCAGTCTCTTAGTGTGCAAACAACGAATCCATACAACACTTATTAGTCCATAACTTGAAAAAACAGATGAAACTTTGTTCAGTTGATTAGAAAAAATTGCATTTTTAATATATAAAATATAATTTAAGTGACGGCCATACAATTGGACAGTTGGCTTAATCTTGAACCAACAGCAAAAAAAGTTGGCCGAGTTTGACATTAATAGTATCAGTTATATACAACTAGTTATTGAAAATACAATTACGATTGCAGTTATAATCACACAATCATATAGTGAGGTAAGCGTTTGTTTTTAATGTTTGTTATACATGTGTTATCTGTTTATTTGAAACAAGCTATTAGCAATTTTCTCATATATTTCATAAATTATTTGCTCTGCCATAAGCCATAAATCATCATTTCTATGATGTTATGCATCGCTAGTGTTGTACTTATGGTTTGAACAAACAAATTATAAGTAAAAATGTATTATATATTGTGTATTATAAATAAATTCATACAAACAGTTTTTTATCATTAATAAATATTCATTACTAAATTTAAATAGTAATTTTCTTATAATTATTAATATTACAGTGTATATACAATATACTTTACTTTCTATAGATAAATAATTATATTTTAAAGTAAAAATGTGAACTTTTCAATTTTATATTTTAAAGAAAATTTTAAACTAATATTTATGTTAGTATAAATTTTGTACAATTAATTTAATTAGAAAAAATAAAAATGATTTTAACACATTATTGACTGAATCTTTTTTAAGTCTAAAAAACTAGAAAATAGTTCATTAATTTAATAAATTTGAAGTGAATTGAGTAATAAAATCTAATTTGCTATGATTTTACTTTTTGTTTTGTTTTATATGCTATACATATAAAAGCTTAAATATATTTTAATATAAAAAATGATTATCTGATTAAAACCAAATTATTACACATTTTTATGATTACTATTTTGAAAACATATATAGTTATATAACTAATGTATTGATGATATTCTGTGTATAGAATTTCAAATGAGACAAGAATTACAGCAACAAGTATTTGATTGCAAGTAATGTTAACTGATTTGCATTGCATAACACACATACACATACACATACACATACACATACACATACACATACACATACACATACACATACACATACACATACACATACACATACACATACACATACACATACACATACACATACACATACACATACACATACACATACACATACACACTGTAAAATCGCATCATTTAAACAGTTTTATTGTATGTTATTATCTAAGTTGTTCAGAGCTGAAATCTCTTTCTCTCTCTCTCTCTCTCTTTCTAATGGCAGACACATTACGATTAGGTCAAGGATTATGATATGGAGAGAATTACAATATATTTGTATTTTTGTAAATCAAATTGTTATCATAACTGTCTGTGAATCAAACCTTGTGTCATACTATTTTAGTTATAGCCGTTTACCACAATTAATGTTATATTTGAATTGCAAATTGTTTTCATTTAATTATATATATATTATTTAGATCACACTTTCTTCTATTTATAAAATGCATTTATATTTTTTTAATTTAATATAAAAATAATATTCGCAAAATAAATTTTTGTTAGATTAAACAATTTTTTCTTAAGAATGGAGAGAAAGAAAGAAAGAGAGAGAGAGAGAGAGAGAGAGAGAGAGAGAGAGAGAGAGTTATTTAATTTTGAGAAAACTAGTCTTATATTATGGATAGCGCTTTGAGACTTAGTATAACCCGAAGCAATCTGGCATTACATCCACTTTTTGTGAGGAAAACTGTTTAAATGGATGAATAAATTGAATACTTATTTGTCCTACAATTTATGTATTCAATGCATATTATCACTTGTTTTTTTTGGAGCCCCCCAGACAAGCCCTGACTGATTAAACCATATAAATATATATTTTTTAATGTAACTGTTTTTATTTAAAGTTTAACTGATTGACCCATAACTGCAATAACATTGATTAGAGAGAAACAAAAAAAATGTGAGACAACACCTTAGCTATGATAATATTATTTTTATTTGCATTCATAGAGTATAACCAAAAAATTGTTTTCTTAAGAAATACCACTTTATATTAAACACATTAACAAAACTAATTAAAAGTGCAGTCATTTCATCCAAAAAGTGTTTACTTATGTCTTTGTTAAATAACACTTGAATTGTTTGAAACGCTATAAATATAGTTAATAATATTTTTTTACTAATAAATTTATTAAATTTGACATGTATGACAAAATTATTTTTTGTGAGGGTTTTAAAAAAATTCTATCTTAAACTATACAATATTATATAATTTTAAGTATAGATTCTCAATATTAATTATTTGTATTAATAATAATTAATAGCATATCTTATCGATTCACTATATGCTATATATTCTTAATTATGCTAACAAATCATAAAAATTCAGATAATTTATTATTAATTTAGATATAATTTATAATTTATTAATGCATTTACTGTAATTATTATTTTATTATATTGATTTTGGTAATATAATTAAATAAAAAAATAGTTATAATTTATTTGGTCATGTTTATTGTATTTATTATAATGCAATGTTAATAAAATAATTTAAAAAAATAAAATATATAAACAAACAAAAACAAATTTATAAAGATAATTAATAATAATTATAAAACTGACTATTATATAATATTAATCTTAAAGGTCAAAGTTTATTGTTAATGATAAAAATGATACTAATCATTTATTCAAAAATCAAATGATACACATATTATATTATGTATATTATATTATATCATCAATAACAGTACAATGTTATCAATTACATATACGTATACATCAGTTATTAATATTATTAAAATTGATAAATAAATAAAAATATTAAATTTGTAAATAAAGATGAACATGTGATTCATATATTATATATTTTTATTTGATATATAAATATCATTATTAAAGATTTTAAATATTTGTTGTTATTATATTTAACATAATTAATAGAATAAACTTATATTTCAATATCACACTATGATTATTTTTATAACGATAACATTATTAAAATTATAATATTTTTTAAGTTAACATTACAAAGGTATGCTTATGATAATACCGTACAAAGTTATTACAAAGTTTTACATAAAATTTGTTTGACAATCATTTCTTATATATTATAACGAAAATATTTTTTAATTAAAAAAACTTATTAAAAGTCAATGTGAAAAATGTAATTTTTTTATTAATGCTTTAAAAATTAGTTTTTAAAATATTGTATATATCGATAATAAAATATTATACTATATATGTAAACAGTAAATGTTATATTTTTCTGTTTTGTATTCAATAATTAATAAATATATTTAGAAAATTAGTTTGATTTAAAAATAGTAATATTGTACAGAATATTCATGAGTAAGTTGTTGTGTGTTTTATGATAATCTTTTTTAAAGGAAGAGCGATAAGAATTGTCTGAATTGACGTTTATTTTTGCCGTTTTATTAACAAAAAACTAGTGCTAAAGGATTTTTCATATCTAAAACATGTTTATACAGCAATATATTTGTTGCTCACAACACTATTATTATGTTTTGTGAACAATATTGATTGTTGTATTTAAATAATAAAGAAATATTTACATTTTTATTAAATAGTCATACAATTGTTCAAAATAATAATAAAATTTGCTTAAAAAATTAAAAATCTTATAAAACATATAGCTTTTTAAAAATGATTTTTTGAATATCTTAGTAATAGACTGTTTGTTATTAACTTTTGAAACTGTATTTTATTAATTGAAAGTCTATATAAAATGTTAAATAACAAAAATATTAAATGATTTATTTTAATGTAAAATGTGATTATTATAAAATATAAACTCAAACAAATGCTGGTAAAATAATTTCTGTTTTATTACCGATAATTTAGTTTCTAATAAATAAAGTATTTTTTGGCATTGAATCAAATGAAAGTATCTTAAAATACATTAATTTAAAAAATCCAATATCTTTAATACCAATACATTATTAATCAGATAATGATTAAAAATGTTGCTATTTTTATGCTTAAGTAAACTTTGTTTATCTCAATAATTGCAATAAACAGTATATTTAATATTTTCATTATTAATATTACACATAATATTACAAATCTACTAGTTAAATATTTTTATAAGTTTTATTAAATTTTAAATTTTGTTTGTATAAATGTGCAATATTTATTTATTTATACAGCTAGTTTTAAATTTAATTTTAAACAAACATTTTAAAAATATTACATATATAAAATATTTTATAATTTATTATATACTGTATGTACTGTATATATTGTATTATACTAAATATTATTATTATTATAATCATATTAACCTTTAATTTGTTTAGCTAAACATTTTAATAATTAAAAAAGTGTAAAGCTTTTAGCATCAATTTCTTAATGCAATTATTTTGATGACATTTACTAGGAATATCAAAATGATAAGTAAAAATAGTTTATAAAAAATAATTATCATTTATTACGTGTTTTCTCAATTAAAAATAATTATTACTGCAGGAAATCAATAACACAAACGCATAAATACAAACACATGTGTTAAGCTATCATTTGACAAGTTTATAGGAATTATAAATTAATTAATTATACTTTTTATATATGCATTTTCAATTGTATTGCATATAATGTATTAATATTAATATAATACAAACAATAGTACTATACTACCTGTTGCACACATTTGTCGATGTATTGACTAGTTTTAGTAAATGGAAAATTGAAAAAATACAGAAACAATCTGTAAATATATTGCTTTATTATTAAATAATTCCTAATATAACATATTCTTTGAGAGCTTTATAATTAATATCATAAGTATATTACTACTGAATACAGGTAAGTATTTTTATAAAAGTTATAAACTATTTAGTTTGAAAAAAATTAGTATTATTTATTTGTAGATAATATAAAATAATTTTTATTATGTATTTAATATAAATATTAATAAATTACATAAAATTTTAAAAAATACTACAAGAAAGATTTCTTAAAAGCTTTCGTTAGTAATTTTTACTTTATATTTAATGTAAATTTAAAAGTTTTTTATCTATGATTTTATATTTATCAATATTGTAGCTTTATATTTAAAAATAGATTGTAAATATAATTTTTTATTATTAAAATTAAATATTTATAGTTTAAGATTTTATTTGATGAAACTTTCTTATGGAAACTTTACATCAATTTGTTATTTACTCATAATTTTATATTTTACCTCTTTTGTAGATCTCAT